AAAACAACCATAATGAAAAATACATCAAGCAAGGAATGAATGGTCCAGTTCACAAGTGTTTGACCACAAGAAAAGGAGAATAAGGTCAGATCAAGCCAGGACATCATGAGTTACCATACAGCTATCAAAACATAATAGCAAATAAATTACAGGAATTACAATAACTGACCAATAAAACAATTAAATTAAGTCAAAAGATATAAATTAAGTTAAATTAAATCAGGCCAAATCTCTTCTTCAAGGTATTGAGGAAACAAGAGGAACGTGTTTGAGAAGTAGAGGGAAGCTCTTTGATTATTACCCAAGTAAATCACAGTCACAATATAAACCTCTATGGTAATTAAAAATTTTGTCATGGTAATTAAAGCTGAATACAAGATAAAAACAAACCTTGAACTCCCACAACATTCCAACGGGCAATCTTATCAGAGCAGCTAACCGACAACGTTGCATCTCCACGACCAGGCTTCCTCTGAACCTTGCCTGTAACTTCAGAAAAATTACCTGAAGGATAAACCAAAGAAAATACTCCGTGCAGACTGGAAAGAGAGAGAAGCAAAAATACAAAAACTGCTTTTCTATTACAGGATATCATAGTGAATAAAACAGAGATGACAAGGTAGTTCAAATATGTTGTTTCTTCTGAGTCAAATTTGTTCATAATCATTGATACTCTATAGAAGTTTCCTTTCTTTATGCAAGCCCGTTGTTTCCCCTATCAGAATCCTTTTGGAATTAAATTCATAGTACAAATGGCCCGCTTTGGAAGTGGCCTTAGTTGGTACAGCTAAATTATATAAATTTATTGTCTTTACAAGTCAAATAACATAATTAAGAATCTCCAAGGGACCATAACTTGAACAAATGTTCCAGTTCTCCTGTTTGACCCATAGCTTTTTTGCTTTAAAACAGCCCGAAAACGCCCTATTTCATCATTGCCATGCTCCCCGTTCTCCATTTGCTACTTATTTAAAGAAAGTTTCTACATCTTTTTTGCAGAGTGCTATAAGATTTTCTGATGAATGGTGATATGATTACTGCCTAATAACCAGGTGCCAATTATATTAATGGATCATTGACCAGTTACACATAACCATTTGGATTGGCCTATTTTTCAAAAATAAGTTTTTCAAATATAATGCTACCGAAATACACAAACAAAAACAACTCAAAAAAATCTCATCCATACAATATATCAAATATTTCAAAAAACATTTATAATAAAAGTCTTTCATATACACTGCTATAATAAAATATTTCAAAAACACCCCCAAAAACAGCTAATCCAAACGGAGATCAAAGAACCAACCACTTGCGCTCCAAACTTATAGAAATTGCAGAGAGGACTAATATATCCATGAGAAAATGCCAAAATCACTATATAGGCTCATAGTATATAGTTCCAAGAACTAACGATAATTAGTTAATGTTACCATTATGTCCTGCATTAGGTTCATCCACTCCCACTATTACATTACTAACTCTTCCAAAAAAGCATGATGAAATCTCTCCACTTGAAATAGTATCCTGCAAAGTCTCAGAACTGACAGAGGCCTCTCCACCTGCAAAGAAGCACAGAGCAACCAAATGGTTAAAAGTGAAAAAGTCTACTTCTAGCAATTATAGAAGGAATCCCAAGCATGCTAATACCTACAAGGTGATTGTGATACATATAAATGCAATTTCCAGCCCTGCTTCATTTTGAATTTTTTGGGACTAAATCCATTTTTCTCCACACAGGAAAGCGGCGTCGCAATGTCATCACCTTCTAATGGTATCCTTCCACTACTATCTCTACACTTCTTGTACAACTCAGTAAGACTCTCTATTTCTGAATAAAAGTACCTGGTAGGATTGTGGTTCACACCTCAATTAACTCATTCACAAAGAGTAACTAGTTCACAGGTTTTGCATCATGCCATCTACCTTTATGCTTCTCTGGATGCAAGTGGAAGTTCTAAAATCACAATCCTTTCCCGAAGCAAGTTTGTTTTAGATGAACATTACAGGATTTGACGACACTTTTGATTCAAGAACTTACAGCACTCAAAGGAAAGTCATTTTAAATGAAGTCATCGCGACAACACGACAGACAAACGCAGTATTGTACGAAAAGGAAGGATAATAAATCTCGGAAGCATAATTTAAAAAACAGAGGCAGCAAAAACTTTTTACTCTCCTTCAACCACCACCTTCCCCAAACAATCCATCTTCATACTAATCATATCATTATCCCCACTTCAAACTGCTGTATCAACAGAACACTACCTAAAAATGCAAAAAGATTAATTCTCTAAACAAATTTAGCAATTACTTACATATAAAAATCAAGAAATTCCCAAATACAATTACCTCAACAGAGCTCTTCTTGCTATAACTTCAGCATGAGAATCATTGACAACGTCACCTTTTGAACTCCGCCGAGACCGCCCTATACACTTGGTCCCCGTTCCCAGCGCCACCACTTCCAATTCTACATCAAAAACAAAACTTTTAGCTAAAATTTTTTGAACCGTTCGTTGGGCCAGAATAAAAATCAGAATTACAGGGGAAAAAAGGAGGAATTTTGAACAAGGGGACCTTTGAGCGGGGAAGAGATGAGAAAAGCGGCCAAGACCGTGACTTCGCGACCCTGAGGCTTGCCCTTTTTCGAAAGAGAATTATATGCAGATAATACTGCTTCTGATACTTTCTCACCCCATTGTTTCACCTCGGGCTGGGATTGGGAAGAAGAAGGAGACGGAGACAAAGACGACGTCGTTGAGGAGGTTAGCTGTTGTTGAAGCAATTGCAGCCCAGCAGAATCCATCAGCAGCGATGATACGACAGAATTGCGAACTCGGTCTGCTGTCGTTTTGGCCGGTTAAAGCCTTTTGTTTGTTGTCTCGCAAACGACCCTTTGACCTTTGTGAGACAGAAAGTCAAAAAATTTCCCACCATTTTTAGGCAGAACCATTTTATGTTTTTTTATTTCTTCTCATCTCGATTTCTGAATATACGTTGTGTATAAAAGTTAAAGGGCAAATTATCCAATTGGCCCTTTAATTATTTGTCTAGGTAAAATTAAGCCTCTCATCTATTTTTTGATAACTTTAAGCCCTTGAACTTGTAAAAGTGGGAAACCGTGGCCCTTTTAGCCAGTTTCTCCAGTTTTGCAACCGGATGACCAATTCACACGAATGCAAGTGTGCTTCTTCAAAGGGCATTTTTGTCCGCATATTCTAAACAAAAAGGGTACAACTCCTCCCTCCTTTCCATTTTTCGAACCCAATCCAACCCAACTGCTAGTCGAAACTTCACAGCAACAATGGAAGCAACAATGGAGTGGCAAGAGAAAATCTTTCCTACATTTTCCTTACCCATTTTCATCTTCCCTTAAGGATCTTTGCGGAGGGAGAAGAGCAAGAGAGAATCAGCACTGTCGGGTTTGGGTATCATCGAGATTGAAGCAACAAGGAGTGGCAAATCAGGCCGAAAAATCATCGACATTGAAGCAAGAGAGAAGTCTGAAAGGAAAAAAAAAAGGGGGAGAAGGTAAAAGCTTTGTGAAGGGAAGGAAAAAATGCGCAAATATTGCGGCCATCTGCTTCCTACTTGTCGTTGTGGTAAAGTCACGAAGATGATTACTTCTTGGACTGATAGAAATTCAGGAAGAAGGTACGCCGTTTGCTCAGAAGAAGTTGGTGGCTGCGGGTATTGGAATTGGATTGACGACGAGATGTGCCGTCGTTCTATTGAGCTGATACCAGGCCTTCTAAGGAGGATCAATGCAACAGAAAAGCAAAAAGACGAATTTGAAACTGCAGCCGCGAGATCCGAGGCAAAAGCTGCGAAGTTGAAGGCAAAATTGAGAGAAACAGAGAAGCAGCTGCGGTGGCAAAAATGGTTGAATAAGTTCCTTGTAAGGATTTTTGTGGTAAGTTGGTTGGTTGCTGTAATAATGGTGCTTACAGAGAAAAAAATTGCAGGTGGAGTCTCTCTTGGGATGCTCCAATTTGGGAATAAATGTAATGGGATTATGCAAATTGAAGACGATACATGAAGGGCAGTGTGTAAGTATAACATATTGCCATCGGTACTGCCAGTTTTGAGGACCATGGATGGAGCAAATGGATCTATGGTGTATGATGCATATGGTTAGGGAGAAGTATATTGTATTGTTTAGCTTAAACAAGTCTTTGTTGTACCCACAGATTAGTGTAAAAGCGTGGTTGAACCCAATCAATGCTAACTGTAATTTTTGGCAAGTAATGTGATGAGAATTATTTATCCCAATTCGCATGTCATGGGCTTTGTTAGATGTATTTGATTTATCTAGTCAACAAAAACTGCTATACCAAACCATACAAATATAAGATAGCAACTGCATAACATTAGAATATAATTAGCAAAAGGAAATTACAATGATGTTTGCCTGTAAATACAGTCAACAATCACTTTCATAGGAAACAGACAAATACACAAAAAGCAGTGACCTGTGTCCATATTGCTAGATACCAAGCACAGGCACATGCTTTGATTCCGCACAAAAGCCTATTCAAAAAAATATCATTTATAGTTTCAACATTCTAGTTACATTCATTTACAGTCAACAAAATCACACAAAAATATTTGCAGGTCCAGCAATACTTCAAGAACTTGTTCCAGATGGACCCTTTCCTCTTCCCCTTCCCCTGCCTCTTCCTCTTCCTCCACCTCTTCCCTGCCAGTTTCCAACATTGAAAGGTGGATCTTTACCCAAATAAGCATAGTTGAGATTAATAAAACCTTTGTCTGCTTCTGTCAGTGGCCTTTTTGATGTACTTCTCTTGTGCCTATGAACTGGTGGTCTTGAGGTGGATTGCTGGGACTGAGATTGATGTGTTGGCGGCTGCTGAGAAAGCTGGGACTGAGGTTGATGTGTTGGCGGCTGCTGAGAAGGCTGGGACTGAGGTTGATGTGTTGGCTGCTGCTGAGTTTTTTGCTGATTTCTTTGTCCCTGATTCTTGTTTACCTACATATTAAAGAAAGCATTTCAGATCACAAAAAAAGGTCACAAACAGGCTGAAAGTTATAATGAAGTGCAAACGCACACGTTGTCTTTTTGTTGGTGCTTCGTGCTGCTGCTGATTACATGGTTGTCCAGTAGGTGGTGGTTGTTGAGAAGGTTGCTGTTCAGTAGATGACTTAGGAGGATTCTTGCAAGTTTTAGCATTATGTCCAATCCCTCCACACTTTCTACAGTGGATTACAATTCTCTTTCGCAACCTTTTGTCATGATCTTTTCCTTCTGTAACATCTCTCTTTCTAGCTTTCTTTGGCCTACCAGATTGAGTGACACTTGCTGGTGGGTCCAACTCCAGCATGTCTGACTGTGGCCACTGAATATCTCCATTAATAGGCTGCAACACATTATCATAGATGGTAAAAAATACCTCCCTATGATAGCAATTAGCCAACATTTTGTAGGGATCCTTTTTAGCTCTATGTAGAGCAGCAATTGCATGGGAACATGGAATGCCACTCAAGGCCCACAAATTGCAAGTGCACTCATTTTTGTCAAGGTCAACAACAAATTGGGCTCCCCGTGGCCCTTTTGCTTGATAACCTGAGCCTGAATTCCATGTTATTTCCCATTGTGCTGCACGTTTGACCCTTTCTTCCACAATTTCTCTAATGAGTGGTCCACCATCTAACTTGTATTTTTCCATTGCTGCCCTTCTCTTTTGGATCCTTTCCATCAAGTATTCCCTAATAGCCTCCATCATAGAAATAATAGGCTGGTCCCTAGCCTCTAAAATATGGGCATTAAATGATTCACACAGGTTATTAACCAACATATCACACTGTGTATGTTTGGAAAAAAAGGCCTTACACCAATGTCGAGGGTGTGGTCCCTTCTTCACCCATGCATGTGCTTCTTTGTCATAGGCTTCAAGGTCATCCAAGGCTTGGTTGAAATGTTCAACTGTTGTGGTGCTTGCTATATGCCACAATCGATCCTTTAAACCTAATCCTGGATATTTCTTCTTGAAATTCCTATACATGTGTTGAACACAGTATCTGTGTTCAGAATTTGGTAGAACCTCTGCGAGTGCTCTGTCCAGTCCCTACAAAAAATATCACAACAGGTATAAGTTAGATATCCAAGCCAAGTGGTGAGTTTGAGGGCAACAAGTATGCTATATTAAAAGTTCAAGGGCTTGTTTTTACCTACACTAAAAGTTAAGGGGCTTAAATTCTGCTATACAAAGTTAAGGGGCTTATTTTTACCATAGAATAAAAGTTTTAGAGCTCTCATTAAGCTTTTACCTTCTGCTGGTCAGACATGAAAGTATAATGTCCCTGGTTCTGTATTTCCAAGTCGCCACTCAAGAGGGTTAGGAACCATCTCCATTGCTCCGTGGCCTCCTTTTCAACAGCTACCCATGCAACTGGCCAAAGCCCATTGTTGGGATCCACTGCAATAGCTGTCAACAGCTGGCCTGGGTATCTACCTTTAATATGACATCCATCCAAACACAAAATAGGTCTGCACCCATCTTTAAAGCCTTTCTTCAGTGGGCCAAGGCAGCAGTACATCCTCATGAACCTTAGATTACATCCAGGTTCTCTAAATGGAGTGAACATAACCTCCATTGTACTGCCAGGATGAGTCCTTTTAATTTCTTCACAATATTGCCATATTTTCTTGTATTGTGACTCAGCTGACCCCTTGATCTTCTCTATAGCTAGTATCTTGGCCTTAGCTGCAACATGCTTAGATACTTCTGCCTGGTAGTTTTCATGGACTGTTTGCCTTAACTCTCTTGTTGACAGATTGTTATTTGATCTTATCCTCTCTACATACCTGTCAGACAGCCACTTGGCTGTAATATTCTTATTTTTCCATGCATGGCTGCATGTTTCATGGACATCATGCAGAGTCTTTACTACCAAGTCCTTTGTGCCCAGAGTCTTTTCTATTGAAGCAAATACAAACCATTTACATGGTTCCCTACACTTGGCCCTCACCCTGGTGGGCTCATTTTTACTGGTCCAAACAGGTTTACCCATCCTAATCCCATGCTCAGTCACAACAGATTTGAATTGTGCTCTTGACTCAAACTTCATCCCAATCTCGAATTTGGGATCCCTGAGGAATTTCTCTAGGACAAAGTCTTTGTATCTCCCTTTGAATTCATCATCTGATGAGTCATTGTCACTGCTCAGGTGATCAGGGATGTAATCTTGTTGGAGTGAATCTATATCCTCTGGTCCCTGGCTAGTTTGTTCTGCTGATCTGGTTCTCTTTCTCCTAACTTGTTTCTTTCTCGCACCTTGCTGTTGTGTTTCCAGGTCAGTTTCTGTTTGCCTTCCACAAACATTCTCTTGTTCTGAACATTGCGTCTGGTCAGTTGTTTCATCTCTCTGCTGTTGCTGTGAAGTTTCACCACAGCCATCAGCATTCGAATTCAAAATGTGCAGCATAATCTCTTAACCACCATAGTCATTGGCACCACTAAATCTATCATTTTCTTCCTCTACTTGGGATTCTGATTCATCATCTATGTTTTCATCCTCTGCTTCATGTTCACCTTGCTGTTCACCACCATAGTCAGCTTCATGTTCACCCTCTGCTTCATGTTCACCTTCGTGTTCACCACCACCATAGTCAGCTTCAGGTTCACCCTCTTCTGTCCCAACATTACTAGCTGCATGAGTGTTTTTTGCTGTTTTTTCACCCCAAACCTTTTCAACCGTATCTACACCTTCTACTGCCCTAACATTACTATCCCTTTGACTATTTTTTGCTCTTTTTTCACCCCCTACATTCCCAACCATACAGTCCCTTCTACTACTCTTCTCAGTACCTACATATCTAGTTATGCATTCTTCATCATCTACTTCCTCTATGACAACTCCAGTTTTCTTTTTCCCTTTGTCTGGTGACTCTATTATTACAGCATTTTTCAGTTCTTCAATTTCTGGATCTGTCAGATGATGGCAATACACTTCCATCACCTTGAATTTATATGCCCAGTCACAGAATGTCCTAACATGGGTATCAGTAGACAATTCTCTCAAACCAGTCCTCGTGTCTGCAACTGGTTCAAGGTAATAGTATAAAATGGTTGCATTACGATGACCAACTTTTCCAACCATTTTATTCAACTCATGGATTGACATACGTTCAGCATCACACATATCTATGTAGGCCACTTCTCCATTCTCATAACTGACATAATTTCCCCAATTTATTCTTCCCCCATGGTGTAATCTTATGCTAAATATTTCACATTCTGGATCTACATATCAATATGAATATATTGTTTCAATACAAGTTGGGCTACAACAAATGCAGATAAATATACTATTCAAATTCATAATTAATTAAAATTTCAATTTCTTTTTCACATGTTTTTTAAAAAATAACCCTAATGTAATGCTTAAATCGAAGTTAAACAATAAAAAAGTTCCAATTTTTAATGAAATGCTAATTATTCGTAAATTCCTACACTTTTTGAACAACTAAACAACAAACTTAGGTGCCCACCACCATACCCCCACATCTAAGACCACTGGCACGTCACTTTCAGTAACCCCCACCATCAAAATTTTACTCTCTTCACCCATCTGACCACTAAATATGCTACCTATTTCACATTTAAAGGTTCGAACGAATATACATACCATAAGCGAGGACAGAATCAAAGTATTCATTTTCCGGCCTGATTTGCCACCCCTCCATTGTTGCTTCAATGTCGATGATACCCAAACCCGACAAGTAGGAATTAACTCTCTTGCTCTTCTCCCTCCGCAAAGATCCTCAAGAGAAGATGAAAATGGGTAAGGCTGTTGCTGTGAAGTTTCGACTAGCAGTTGGGTTGGGTTAGGAAAATGGAGGAAATGTGGAGGAGTTGTGCCATTTTTGTTTATAATATGCAGACAAAAATGCCCTTTGAAGAAGCACACTTGCATTCGTGTGAATTGGTCCTCCGGTTGCAAAACCGGAGAAACTGGATAAAAGGGCCACGATTTCCCACTTTTACAAGTTCAAGGGCTTAAAGTCATCAAAAAATAGATGAGGGGCTTAATTTTACCTAGACAAAGAGTTAAAGGGCCAATTAGATAATTTGCCCAAAGTTAAATGGTAAATCTTCTATGTACCATTTCTAGCTAACGGATTTGCTTATCACATATACAAAAGTTGATGATCAAATTTTAAGTAAGATGATGTGGCACGCATTCAAACTTGTTGGTGATGTAAAAAAAAATTAATTCAAAATTAAAAGGCATTTTTGTCACAAAAATAGCAAATTCAATTTTTCTTCTTGGCAAGTATTTTTTTCTTCAAAAGTGTTCTTCTCCTTAGACCTTCCAATATTATTGTTGTTCCAAGTTCTTCTTGTCCGCATGGTTCACTTTAGTATGGAATTCTCACTTCCCGTTTCGGAGAATCGACGCATCCTCCTCAGTGCAAAAATGCTTCAATACTAAATTGACTGGAACGCATTAGTGGTGTAGAGTAGTTTCTTTTGTAACCATTCCGATTATAGTGTAGTTTTGCTATAATTACCCCTACTTGCAATGATTCATAAATCTCTACCCCTAGATCTTTACATTTGCCCGGTAGGTAGCTCGACTAATTTCGTAATTTGGTAGTTATTAATGTATCCCGTAATCGACTTCCGTATACTATCTCACTATGTATTTTTTGAGCAAGTCTCTATACAATCTTAAGAAATTAGTCTAATCGAAAGGTTGAGATAAAAAGAAATCTTTACATTTGGATGTCAGCACGTGTAGATAATGCCCTTAATCAAGGAGAGAGATCCTTCCTTAAAAATGAAATCAATACACTTCTTAATAAGAAAATCATCCAAATCTTATTTTGTTAATATTGTAATTATACTCCAATGCAATCCAAATTTTCGCTATGATTTGGTAGAAAATATACAATATCATACAGGTAATTCGAAAGCTTATCCAAGATGTGACCGCGAAACAGTACTTCATCTTCTTCTCTCTTTTGGCATTTCACCTTGAGTACCTTGTTACCATCTTCTTATCACGGAGGAACGGGTGACAACACCGGATTAAGTGCATGGACTACTTTAAAAACAGTGAAGAAGAACATAAATTATCTTTTCACTGATTGAAGTTTGTTTTGTTCCATCAACCCTATTGAGTTTTCAGACTTTGGATTATAATCTTAAATGCATTTTAAGTAAATTTGCATAATAATAAAAAATTTTAAGATTGTTGATTAAAGTATTACACAAAATACAAGTTATAACTAACACAAAGTAAGAAATCTCTTATTCAACTTATGTGTTTCAATTGATTCAGTTTGTATGGATCATAGAGCTAATTGACGTAGTAGAAATTTCTGATTTCTTCGTAAAAGATCATTGTCCTTATAAACAAAAAAGTTTAGTTTTGCTCAAAAAACACACAAAGTAAGACAAAAGCAAATGGGGAAAAAGTGATGATCGTGAGTCATGTATAAGATACTATTCTTAATGTTTTTATTGCCTCTATTGTACTCAATAGTTTTGTTTTTGAATTAAGACAATATACCTCTAAAATATAATAAGAGGGGGCGAAAGTTGATAGCAAAATCAAGACCCTGTTTGGCATAAGAGTTTTTTGCCTAGTTTTTCTAATACAAGTTTTTTAATAACTTTAGTCAGAATAATTTCAAAAAACTTCTCAAAAATTTTAAAATACAAACTTCAAAATATAAAAAAACACACAAAAAAATTTCATTTTTTCCTTTCTTCGTCTTCCTCCACCACTTCAACCCACCATCACCTCCGCTGCCGACCAACACTAGTCGGGATCTCTTCTCCCTCTCCCTCTCTCTCTCTCCCGCCACCTCTCTCCTCCCTCCCTCTTCCTTGCGACCCTCCTCTTCCCCTCTCCCTTCCATCCTTGTGTTTTTTGGGCACAAGCGAATGGAGATAGAGCGACAATTTTATTAAATAGGAATAAAAAGAAAATATAAGAATAAATTATTTGATACGGTGGAGCACTATGTAATCGTGAAAAAAGATATTATTCTTCTTTTTTTTCATTTTTTAACAATTGTTGTTAACTGTTTTTTTTCTTTGGTAATTTATTCTTATGCACTAATGACTAAAGTGAAGTCAATCATGGATGTTAAATGAGGGACCATTTAACGGATGCCTGATTTTATTTTTTTTTTATAATAACAGGTGCCCGATTTCGTTAACACACTTAAAATTCATCTAAATTATCATATATATATATATATATATACACATACATTAATAACTATTATATTTTCCTATATTCCCTATTTAATCTTACCTACCTTCTCTTGTATTTATTTGTTTTCTCTAATTAATCTTATATTTCCAAAAGTATGACATGTGAAATACATCTTGACAATGGTTCAATGGACACCCGGATCCAAAATTAAATTAAATTATTGGTAAAGAATATTTGAAAATCAGTATCATGACAACAATTGAAGTAAGTAAATAGAAAACAAGGTGTGAGTCATTTAATGTGTAAATGAGAAATTTTTGGTTATGATGTAATCTGCAGGGGAACAATTTCTTACAAAGAGCAAGATTTTGTCCCCTCTAAAGAACCAAATTTTAACCTAAAATGGAAACTGAAATCAATTATAATAGTATGTGATTAATTTTGTGGAAATTTCTATACTCCCTTTTGAAACCATTTTCTCATTTTGTATCTCAATATCATGATAGAGGTTTATATATTTCAAATGATTAAGGGTCTTTTTGGCACCCCTGTTTTTATGGGTCTTCCTGTTATACAAGTTTTTTAAATAATTTTGTCTATAAAATCACTTTAGAAAATTTTACAAATTTTTTGCAATACACACTCTAAAATACTTTAGTTTGTTTGGACAACAAGAATTTGGAATAAAAATTTCAGATTTTGTTTTGCTTGCATCATACACACAATTCCCAATCACCTTTTTATCTCACATACATCACATCACAAAAAGTGTTACAGTAACTGGATCAAATAAATCATCCAAATAAATTCTTATCCAAACAAACTCATATTGCCATTTGCCTCTTCTGCCACCACACTCCCTTACTGGTTTCACTTTCATTGTTGTTACTTCTACCTCATTAGTCTCCATCTCCACCCACCATCATCAACCTCCACTGTTGTCGTTGCTGCCACCTCACCCTTCATTTTTTTTCCTTTCTCCCACCCTCTTCTCCTCACTCTTTTCCTTCTTTCTACCTCTATCCCTCCTCCTTTCCTCTTTCCCCTGCCCCTACCACCCATTCTCTCTCACCCGAGTATACATCATTAGGTTTAGAAGAGAAGGGAAAGGGAAAGGGAGTAGGACGAGGAAAGGTTTGGGAGAGGAGGCGGAGGGTAGGGTCAGCGAAAGGGGTGGTGATGAAAGAAGAAAGAAAGAGAGAAAAAATGGATGACTGTCACCAACAACGGTAGGAAGGTGGCCACAGGATGAGGTGGGAGGGTAGTGATAGAAGAGAAATATAGTATGTGCGCTTTTTGATGTTTTGTGTATTTTGAAGATTTTGGAGTGTTTCTGATTTGTGTAGATAAAATTTGTCTTGTATAAATTCCTGAAAAACACACTTCCAAATAGAAAAAAAAAAGAAAGTTTTTAATTTTTCCAAGTCCTAAATACACAAAAGTTTTTTTTTTTTTTTACAAATTCTATAGTAAATTACAGTCAAATTTTATACAAATACCAAAAAAATACACCTTTATTATCTCTTCGTCCTTGAATATTTTCTCAAATTAATTTCACATATTTATAAACTTAACACCTATGATTTCTTTTTTCCCCTTTTACGAACGTCAAATGAATAATCGTTAACCGAAAACCCTGTAGGCCAATTGATTAGTGGAGTAGAGTGGTTGAGCCCATAGAACCATAACCATGATCTTCCTTTTAACAATTGACATTATGCTCCCTTTTGGTCTTATCTATGTTTACCTTATCCAACATCTCCATCACCTACACTGACACACTTTCCACACGGACACGCCTAAGCCAGCAAACACTTGCATACATTAAGGTACAATCGAGTCAAATCTAAGTTACGATCTAATGGAATCAAATTTTAATATAATTTTATGAAATTTAAATTTAAATTTGAACTCAACGAATTAAAATTTAAATTAGTTGAAAATATCAGATTCGAACTCGAATTCGAATTTAAAAAAAAATATTTATTTATATTTTTAAAAAATAAATAAAATAATAATTTTTTAATAAATATTAAAAGTATATATAATTTTATTAATAAAATAAAAATAAAAATATATAATTAAATTTAAATTAACTTACGAACCAACCAATGAATTTAATATTTTTGAACTTGAAATCGAATTGAAAACGCGACTCTATCTGTGCGTTTGCAACGCTAGCACACACACGGTCTCACACACACTAACTAGCTACGCACCTGTCGGCATGGAGGAACATACAGCCTACGTCTAACCCTTGCGCCATCTGGCTACACCAAACAACTTCAAACAGATCTTCACCATCGGACAAACATACAACCCATCTCATATCATGATCAACGGTCACGATCCAGTTAACCAGCGGAACTTACAAACACTGCACACCACACAACCACTGCCTTCTGTACAGCAAAGCAATATGTTGTAGTAGTAATTTCGAGTGACGCTGCGGGACTACTAAATATAGTAGGTGTAGTTGACGTTGATGTTGATGAAGAAGAATCTGGGGATTGATACACAGAGAGCGTGACGAGATTTCCATTTTTATTATTATTTTTTTTTGCTTTTTTCCTTTCTGGGAAATTTATAAAGCTAGCTAGCAACAAAGAAAGAGTGGTAGTAGAATTTGCGATTTGAAAAAATGGCGGAGGAAGTAGACGTTGCTAAGGCTGTTGAACCTGCTGCACCCTTGGCAGCTGAACCACCTCTGGCGTCGGCAGTTCCGCCTAACGACGTCGTTGAGGAGAAGGCTATTGTGAAGGCGGAAAGTGTGTAGTCTCAACACTTTTTCTATTCATTTTTCCTTCTCTGTTAAATCTTTTGTTCTTTCTTTTTTTTTTTTTTTTGGCTTTAATGTTTGCTGATTGGCATGGGCTAATGCGATGCTTGGAGTATGTAAAATTTTCTAGTCTTGCGCTATTTAAATTGTTGCTGTCTTTGAACGCTTGAATAGGAATAACTAGTGATGTTTATTTTTTGGTACATTTTCGAAGATTATTTATATATTTTAGTTTTCCACCTCAGAAAAGCTAAGCTTTGTTGCCTTTGCTTTTTTTATTGTGGTTATATTTTATCATAGGGATCTAATTCGAGAAGAGTATAACGCCATATTTTTTCTTGGCGGTGGTTGGTGGTTTTTTCTTTTTTTGTTTGTAGAAATGGAGTATCAAGAATTAAGAATCGAAGAAGCGTTTTTAGGAAGGAAAAGTATCTTTAGTTGGACTGGGAGTAATACTTCTTTTAGGGGATATATATATTTCTATTCTGCGTGGCGCGCTAGTACTAGTTGTATTGCGAAGAGGTGCCACCTGGAAAGTTTTCGGAAATACTTGTAAGTTCTACGAGGAGTGTTCCTAGAGAATTCATGTTTAAGCCCAAGAAAGGTATTACGGTAAAAAATGATGTATTTCTCTATGCTTGCTTTCTAGTGTTTGACATGGATATCATACCTGTATGACAAATTACTGTAGCTGCACATTCTCTTATTGTTGATTAGCAGTCTCAAGGTTATGACCTGCAGTTTCTTGGTGCGTTATATCATCATCTCATCATCCTTTTCCTGTTCTAGAGTCGTTTGAAGTTCATTTCTTTCTGCCAAAAAAAAAGAGGGTAATTTCTTTCTGCATTATGCGCTTAAATATTCCACTAAGGAAAACCAGTAACCTGACATGGCTTGTGAAAATGATCACGAATTTTTGCTTCTCCTACAAAAATGTAATTCCTACCAAGATGCGCATTTGTTGTTTATTATGATCTTTCGGAAAGTTTTTGATTTTATTGGATACTCAGTACCTTGAACTAAAATTTTATTCATAGTGACATGACTTTTTTTTTTTCTCATTCTCCAGAAGCTTCAGAGCCTTCAGTGCAGAAGAGCCCCAAAGGATCTGTTGACAAGGGTATGTTCCAAAAGTTCATCTAGAACTTTCTAGCACCAGTAATTACTCTAACCAAATGCTGAGATCAAAGTCTGGCGTGCTTATATTATATAGGGTGTTAATGAATTTGTCTAAAAGCCTGTTATGATGAGGACTTCTTAATTAATTTTTTAGCTGAACATTTGACGCTATGAAAATTCCCGTGTATGATTCATGTTCCATCATGTGTAACCCTACTAAATGAACAATCATGTTGGCGCATCCAGATGTTGCTCTTGCCGAGGTTGAAAATGAGAAAAGATTGTCCTTCATCAAGGCATGGGAGGAAAGCGAAAAAACTAAAGCAGAAAACAAGTAAGGTTTCACCAACTTGTGTCGTTGACTTTCCATTTCCACAAGGCTGAACTTACCAATTCTTTTATTTTGGATTCTTGATCTTATAGTAAATAGCTGCGAAATTTACATGTATGCAGCTTCAATTTTCATCCTTTTACCTTTTTTTTTGTTTCATACCATCAAGGGAAAGAGTGTTGGTACATTGCATTCAAGGATGAAAATGCTGGGAAAGCACGTCACTGGCTTCTACCCTCTAATTTGCATTGTATTTTGTTTTTGAACATGATGAAGCACTGTTGTTCTTCTGAAGAATTTTGAATGGTACTCTAACCAAACTGTTAATGTACTTAGACAATGAAAATGTTTACTTGTAGCTCTTCATCTCTTGTTTTGCTTCACCATTACTAAATAAAATTCTTGTCATTTTGTGAGGTTGTATCTACCATTTATGGCAGATGTACTTGTTGCTCAAGGATTTCAACTTCTACATCACTAGTAATTCCTTTCAAATTATTGTACAGGGCTCAAAAGAAGTTGTCTGAAGTTTCATCATGGGAAAATACCAAGAAAGCAGCTATTGAAGCTAAATTGAAGAAAATTGAGGTAAACAGGCAGCACATAAGTGGCATTCTCAAAAACTAGTGCCTTCAGCAATGGGACATTTTCAGTTGAATGTGTGGAAGTTTGGGCTCGTAAGGTGGTCCAAACAGCATTTCCATCTGCTTTAAACTACTTAACTGACTTGCCACTATTTCCTCAACAATTACAACCATGCTTTGACCTCATGGGTATCCATAATTCATGCAAACCGAAAATTGTTGTATTCGCTCCCTCTGCTCCCTTTTTTCTGAAATTTGTGGCCATTAGTGTGCTGAAGGGGGTGGATTTTGCTTCATCACATTCACGGTTATGTTGTAGTTCAGAGAATATCACTATAGAGGCAGAATAAGTGCTTTCTTCTTAAGTTACCTATTTAATTCAGCAATTGAACCAAGATAAACATTAATATTCTTCTCCCTTTTTTTTTGTCAGTTGCTAATTGTTCTGATACCTGCAGGAACAACTGGAGAAGAAAAAAGCAGATTATGGTGAAACAATTAAAAACAAGATTGCTGAGATTCACAAGCAGGCGGAAGAGAAAAAAGCCATGGTTGAAGCCAGGCGTCGTGAAGAAATCCTTAAAGCAGATGAGATGTCTGCTAAATACCGTGCAACTAATCAAGCTCCCAAACAGGTGGGGTGTTTTGGATGCTAAGCTTCTCCGGGCTTCTAATATAGCATGAAGAACAAGTTTCATTATCCTTGTAAATTTGTCTATTTGTTGTTGTACTTGCGTGTTTATGGATGCGAGGACACATGTTTTTTTTTTTTTGAAGTGGTTTGTATAGAAAAAGAGCTTAAAGCCTGTGAAAGCAAGGCTTATGTTTACGATTTCTGCTACTGTGTAATTCTCTCAGTTCATGAACACATTCTGCTTCTGCAAGTCTCCTCCTCGGTTGGATGCTTGTATTTGCAGCAATGGTTGTGTTTTGATTGCATTTTTCATGATTTTTTATGGGAAAATTACTGTAGCGATTTGATGTATGTGAGGGAAAAAGGTAATAGGGAAATGTGATCACGGAAAATGACGTAATTTTCCGACGAAAAATCGCAATCCAAACAAGGCTTAAGATTTCCTTGCAGAATATGTGCTTTATGGTATTTCTTGCATCGACATCTAGCAGGCATTTCTGTTAATTTTTCTTGTTTGAATTTATGGACAAGCTCTGCCTGTCCGGTGGAACCGAAGCATTTACCAGTTTAAGGTTGTTTTCATTACTGACAACAGAGTCATTAATAAATCGATTTTAACGGTTAACACACAGAATTAGGAACTCCACCCCGCTGCCCACTAATTCCCCTCGTTCCCCTCATCTCGCTTCGCTTCTCCTGTAGGGCACTGGTGGAGTTAATAAAAATTTATCGTATAATTTTATTATAATCAAATTTTAGTAAATAATCGAGTATTAAAATATCAACGTATCATCAAGTTATTATCCATTGTAATTTCATAATTGAAATTTATAAAAATAATTAAACAAAAGTTACTTGAATGCAATTCAACATGATGAACAAATATAACTCAAATAGTCAAGTTTTTACTTTTGATACAAATACAATCGTTAAGTCATTATTGTGTTTTTTTTTTGAAAAAAAAAATTATTATGTTAAGTGTAATTAGAAATTTAGTATAACAAATTAATAATTTCTATTAGTAGACATGTATAATTATTAATATAATTGATAATATCAATTATATTATATATACTAATATGTATTATATAATACATATAACTAATAATGTCATTATTATAAATTTGTAACTAATTAAATAATATATATATATATATAATTATACACACACACATTTTTTTAACGGGTAGCTGGTGGAGATGGAGTGGGGAATTACCGCCCCGTTTCTAAACTAAACGGGGGGAGAGGAGAAAAAATCCAATATTCATGCAGGCACCCACTAGCCTCCTGCAGGCACCCGCTCCAATTGCCATTCCTACACAAAATCCAATATTCATGTGGAATTCTAGTCTTCACGGTTTTAAATATGCTTTGCAAGGTTCAAGCTGACAATAATCTCGTGCATCTGATTGTGTAGAGCCATAAAAGCTTATGCTACTACAAAGTGATGGGTGTATGCTGAAAGTTTTCTGCAACAGACATGTCAGATCACACTTCTGATGGATGCACACCAAGTTATTTTGAACCCCGAAAATGAAAGTCTTGCACAAAAGGCACAATCAACCAAGTGAGACAGTTACAACAGGCAATTTTTGCAGCTAAAATCATATTTGCACACAGATCAGTAGTTGTTTACCATATATACTAAATAAAGCCTACTACGTTCCGTTTGCTGTTATAAACGGGATATGCAACTCTTCGCAATATCCCTGCATCAGTTGGCCGTGCCACGAAGCCTAAAATACCATACATATGGTGGCTTGTACCCTGCTTTCACAGCTGGAGATGCTAAAAGAAACCAGCTCAAACGTTAAGTACAGAGGTCTGAAACCAACCGAAAATCCAGGAACACCAATCTGCAGTCTTAGAAAAGACAGTAACTAACTAAAGGAGGTTTAACTCATTATTGGCAGAATACATCATGTAGTCATCAGTGGTTGCTAAGAAGCTCATGTCATTGGTGCCAGGGAAATCCAGAAGCAGCTGTAACGTTGATTCAGATGAATCCTCCAAGTCATTTGAGCTAGCAGAATCTGATCGAGGAGGAATATCTTCAAAAGCTGACCTGCTACTCTGGCATTTTGTATCTTCAATTTGGTTTACTCCAGCAACCGAGGGACCAGCTAAGCACAGGCTTCTTTCTGCTATGGTGCCTGAAGCTGCTGATCCACACTTAGTCGATGAAGATGCTTGAGAAATTGAACTTTCACATGCTATTTTCTGACTTTTATTGAAATTGCGAAATGCTTCTCCTACCTCAGAATTCCATATTCGTAATATATGGTCAGAATCAGACTTCCCTGTGGATGATGGTACGAAGAGCAGCGACTCCTTTGAAAGGCGTGCCTCAGCTTCGAGCCTTGCACTCTCCCATTGTGCCATGTGACGGGTGGAAGGGGATGCAGGAAGTCTTTGCAGCAGGCCACTTAGATTAGAACAGGGCTCGTGAGTCTGAGGATCAATGCCAAGGCAAATTAGGCGCTTCTTTAGATGGGTATTCCACAAGTTCTTGATCTCATTGTCTGTCCGCCCGGGTAATTGAGAAGCAATGGCAGCCCACCTAAAGACAGACAACAAGGATCCTTGAATGACTATAATCACCAGATGTTTTTAAAACAATTAACAGACAAGGTTATTCTTGTTTTGACAAGGTTATTGACTTGAAAGATTTGAGAAAAACTTCACATTGTAGGCTGCTGACATCCTAACGAACCTGAGCTGACCAGAATAAAAACTTTGCTAATTGAAAACCAGCTTATAGTAAATATATCCTAACAATCTCTTGTTTTCAGTTTGTCATCAATATCACTGCTTTATGAGACATGAAGCAGGCGGCCCCAAAAATATCAAGATTCTCTGTTCCTTTTGGCTGGCAATTCTTCATCTCATTAGTAGAACAGAAAAGTTATTGCTTTTGAGATGCCATGAAATCTCCCACAATTGCAAAACGAGAATAACACAGAAGACATCCTATACGACCAGCATTAATAAGAGCATATGTAGAGATTTTGTGAGATCAAACATGAAGCGAACCTATTGCCAAGGATGCCATGTAACTGTATGACAAGCTTCTCCTCATCGGGGCTAAAGGGGCCACGCTTGATGTCTGGTCGAAGATAGTTTGTCCACCGCAACCGGCAACTCTTGCCGCAACGGAGAAGACCTTAGGAGGAATAGACAAAATTTCACAATCCTCGCTAACAGAAAGGACAAGATTTGTAACCAACAAACTGAGATGCATCCTCAGCACCAAGGAACAACCAGAGGCTAATTTCAAATAAACCAAGAAATTATGAAAATATAATAGGGATGAATGAGTAGATATTCACCAATGACAAGGCACATGCACAAATTTAGTTCTTGAGATATCAAAGAAGCTGAAACAATAATGCTCCTATTCAGCAACAGAAAGGAAATACGAAAAGAATAACAACTCTGGGATTCATGCTAAGGCTTACCAAATGGCAAGTGCCATTCATCAGTATCACCGAAAAGAAAGTCATTTTTTCTTTTTCATACCAGCTAAAGCACGAAGCTAGTTATCTCTGTCTTTCAATATTTAGGAATTCAAAAATGAAGTATTGGGCATAGTTTCTTGTCAAACGACAATGAAGTTTTTTTGACCTACAACATTAAAGACAATCGAACTTCATTAGCATTAAGTACGACAAATAAGGTATCAAAAAGGTTGTGACTTTAAGAGCTTGACACAATTGATTGTGGGGACAATTACAAGTTCGAACTAATTAGCCAGAATTAATACGGTACAGTAGCTAGTTAATAATCTGTTTACATGTGATCCGGAGAGTGCATTTTCCCCGCTTTCCTTTAGGGGTTGCTTTTTCCTATCATTTCAAGCATTGAGCAGGCAAACCACAGAATGAAAAAGCTGAAAAAATGGTAGCAGTAACTCCTCGTGTTAGTATAGCAAATGGCTCAGGTGCAAGGTAAATTGACCTGCATTCCTGGGAAGAGAGCGCCAGCTGCCATGACCATTCTTATTGATGTACTCGATAAGCTTCTCATCTTCCTCCGGAGTCCATGGCCCTTTCTTCAGCCCCATCTTCTTATCACAACAGGGTGCTCTCCCCATACTTTACTTCTGTACTTTATTCTTCCTGATCAAATCTTTCTCTTATGACTCTGCGCCCTTGAGTTTCTGATCTTCTCGAATGAATGAAGGAACGATCAGCAGCGGAGCACAAGATCAAAAGCTCAAGCTTTGGTGCATAAAAAAATAAACCATGGGATGAGGAAGAAGTGAATGAATGCTACACGAAAGAAGAGAAGGAAAGTGAAAAGACCTCTCCTACATAAACACACACACACAGTAGATCATGCTAAAACTGTAGCTACAGCTGAAAAAGAGGGAGAGCTCAGCGAGTTCAAAGCCGGCTGTGGTCGCATTTAATACAATGATAAGATTTATCTGCAAATTCATCAATAGTATTCCTCCAAGCACATATGCATGCAGAGAAATAAGGGGGGAGTGGTGGTGGGGTAGACTTGAATTGCATACTAAGAGGTCAGCAGTATAAAATTGAATGAATGTTTGATTCTACAATAAATGAGTGCTCCGTCTTCTCTTTAGTCTGAGAATCTCTTTTATTTACTAGCACTACATTAATTCTTCATCTCAAGTTTTGGGGTTGTTTTTGCCTAACTTCCGCTGTGCGAATGGTAAAAAAAAAAGAGACTTGAATAGTTTCACCAATATACTCCACCAACAAGTTGGGCCATCCTGCACATAGCAGCAACGACAAGTAGTGTGTGAATGTGTGTGGGGAGAATTGATCAGAAAGAGGTATTATTAAATGCGTAGCTAGGCAGAAGAAATGCAAGCAGGGAGGGAGGGAGGGATGAAGTGAAAGGCATTTAATGCCAGATTGATATCAAAGTGAAAGGACATGGAACCATATTTATGAGATGAATCGGAAGCTGAATTCTACTCCTCCCGGTCCTGGCATCTTTTATTTGATTTTTATTTGCAGCTAGGATTGATATGAACATGAATAAGGAATGCACATGTGTAGGGTGATGGAGGAGGGGCCAAAGAAAGCACACAGAGGAGGGGCATTAATGGAGTCACACAGAGGAGGAAGTACGGATTGATACACCAAATGCAGTAGGATCATAAATGAGGGGACCATATATTTGACGTCTCAAATGTTGACAAGTCTTATATTTATCAAATAGTAATAGTATTATGGTTTTCCCATTCCCATACCCCATGTATGTATTATGGATAGTACTCTTGCGTTGCGTGGATTGCAAAAATGTTGCATGTGCTTTCTAACTCTCTCCAGTGCCAT